AATCACAGGGGTTCTCGTTTGAACCCTTCCCTATATATATATATATATATATATATATATGAACAAGATCAAATATTAATCAAAAATTTTGTGTTAACTATGTTAACTGATCTTGGTCATTCAATCTTTCAATAAACGTTTGTGATTAATTATGATAAAAACTTATTTTTTAAAATTTAAAATTTTATAAAGATAAATGAACAAAGTTGAAAAGGGTATTTAGGTAAAAAAAAATTATGTAACTCCCATATCATTAATTGGGAGTTACAAAATCAAAAAATTCAATGATTTTTGTTAATCTATTTTTGTTAATGTAAGAACCATGTAAACACAAATATATATATATATATATATATATATATATGAACCATTGTGTCAAATACGAACAAAAAATTGACATATATATGAATTTGGATTGCATAACATTTATGAACACAATATGAACATAATAAGATGAACTGCTATACGAAAGGAAATAAATAAAAAAACAGGTATGAACACAATATGAACAACTTGTGAACAATAATTCATTCATTATAAACACATTCAGGAGCGATCATTTGTCAATTGGAGTTTTATACATGCATTGCATCTATACCATTTAAGATTCACCCCTTGTTCATTTATGTTTTTGGTCTTATGTGGTTGTTCACCACTTGTTCATATCGTATTCACCCCATGTTCATATCGTTCAAAATATATGAACACATAACCCTGACGCTATGAACATAGGGTTCAAACACTTACATCAATATAAAGATTTGGTATCAAGCTTAAAAAATAACATTTGTGTTCATATTATAGAAGTAACATTAACACAATGGTTCATGATTCATAAAAGTCAGTAATATGACAATATGAAAATACGTCGTGCATGTACTTCCATTTGAACATGTGAATTATGTATGTATTAATAATTATAGAAATTTTTTATCAACGCAATATGAACTACAAAAACACACAACACATCATAATGAACATAATTTCGATTAAAACGAGTCTAATAAAATATTAATCAATTACCAAGACATTCGCTTTGATTAATTTATTCACTTCCCGAACTTGAACTCCGATTGTCACCATAAATCATTTTAATCTTTTCAATGTTGTCGATTTTTTTTCCAACGTGTTTATCCATAGTAGCTTGAACGATACCGAATATTTTACTACCGTGTTTTCTCCACGAATAAAAAACTCATAAAACAATAAAAATGGAAGATCAAGATTAAAAAATAAATAAAAATATCAATATTATAAATGCATATTTTTTAGGAATTTTATTATTTTGTAACTCCTCTTTAATGGTATGGGAGTTACATAGCAAATGAAATTACTCAATTATCCTTGACATTAAATTGTAAACATGATAGAAACCTAATAGAAGAATGAATTATGATTGGTTGACATGGTTTGCAAAGTTAATACAAAAACTTTATATATATATATATATATATACACTATCTTATTAAGCAAATTTAGCAAAAGTCTTAAAGTATTAAAATACTAAATGACCAAGATACCCTTATCTATAATACCCTTACCTCACTTTTTCACCCCTCCTCTCCTCACATACACTCAACCTCTCACATTTGAACCAATTTTTTTAAAATTATAATTTTAAATTTACACTTATACCCCTATAATTAGTTAATTAATTTACTTTACGTTCTTTACTTTTAAATGTTTCATTTTAAATCTTTATCAAATTAACATACATAATTGTATATCAATTAAAACATTTTTTAAAAAATCGTCTCGTTAATACCTTAAAAATGAGTCCAATATTGAATAGTTTTTACTTAATTATATTATTATATATTATATATACTGTGAAAAAATATTTTTAATATTTACGATTTATACTTTTATAGTTATTTACTTATATATACTATATATTTTGGGGTTAGGTTGTCCAAATTGCACTGTATAATATGTTCTGAATTAATATGTTCTAGGGTTTTTTTGAAATATATA